AAGCTTGATGAATGTTAACATTTATTTTTGAAGGCTCTGTGTTTGGACTGTTTAAGCTTTGTCTTTTTTTCTCTCCTAGAAAGTCATTTTTTAAACATCATTCAACTTTGTGAACCTGAAGAATTGCGACCATTTCAAGTCTTACTGCCACACCACTACTCCAGCAAATTTGTGCTACGACTGGTAACAAAGACCAGAAGCCTGAAGAATTAAAATGCCAACACCAAACTTTACCTTAACAGCTCTGGTCTATACTGTTCCCATGCATTTTAATATATTATTTTGTTTTATAACCACTTCTAAATATTTTTGGTTATTCTTTTTTTAATTAAGGGGTTTTGTTTTTGTTTCTTGTTTACTTTGTGTACAACTACCTGCTTTTTATGACTCATTTTGATCAAATGACAGTGAACAAAGCCAGCCCAAGCTGGTAAGGTGCTGTTCACTTGAACAGGTGCTGTTGTGCGGAAAGCAAACTCTGTGACTAATTTAGTTAGTGGCTTTCCTTCTTCCAGATTCTTTCCATTGAATTCTTACAGCAAATATTTACAGAGTTTTTAGATTGCAGTAAATATGCTGTATGAGAAAATAATACAGATTAAGAGCATTTCTTACATCTTGAAAATTTTCTAATGTTTGAGAATTTCATTGGGTATGTTTTTTTCTATTGAACCCTTTTGACTTTCCAGTCCTGTGACTTTTTACTTTTAGTTGAGAGTCAGAGGATCTCTGGACTGGAGAATCATGAAGAAGTTTGCTGACCATGCACTGTGTTTAGATACCCTGTTGCAGCACAGTGCCAACGCTTCTCAGACAACATGCTCTTCGGCAGCATTCCAGAACAGGAGGGAGGAGAAAGAGAAAACTTGTTTCTTCCCTTCTACTAAAAGATTCAGGCAGCTTAAAACCTTAGTGCTTTCTTTTTTAATGTATCCAAATTTCAATACTTTGCATTATTTGAACGCTTGGGTAGAATATTTGCTTTGTATTAAACCTCGTTGTCTACACATAAAACTGACCTTTTGTTACTGAGCAGGTGTATCTCTTTCAGATAGTTTGATTCACACAGGTTTGAGGATGCTGGGGAGAGAGTATGAGGCTGTGGTGGTTTTTTGTTGGTTATAAGAAAGCTATACCATTTAAAGCTGGCACCAGAGACCTAATAGGGACTTATTAACTGTATTGAACGCTTTTTTCCTTTGCTTTTGACCCTATGTATAGTTATGATGCCAGATTAGATTTATAGCAGCTTCAAGTTGTATTAAATGATATTTTGCTTTCTGTAATATCGTTATAAAATAAAGTTTGTTTATTCTCTATACTTGTCACTTCTCTTTTTATAAAGGTTTAAAAAAATAAACTCAAGTGATATCTTCCATTAAGAAGTCCTATAGTATCTTGTGGAAGGTAGCATTTTAAAAAATTGTCTTCAGCTTTGTTTTATAATTTATGAGGCTGCCAGCATCACTGATTTGAAATCGTAAAAGCGATGTTGAAAGTTTGTAAATCTGATTTTTAACATGCAGATTCCTTCTGCCTAGTTAAATAATCCACCCCAGTCTTCACAAATTCTCCAAGGGATGTTTTTGCTTGTTTTCTTTGTGTATTTTTTTTTTTCCAGGAAATGTTTTAGCTGTACCATTTGAATCCTGATCTTCTGCTTCATGTCCTACTTCACTTCGTGTCTACTGTGCCTTAAAGTATCATGCAAACCAGAATCTGGAGGGGCTGTGTCCAAGTCTAATAGGGATCGCTTATTGTGAGGTTTTTGCCAAGGCACGTCAGATTATGTGCTTAATATTCTTTTAAACATTACACAGCAAATGGCCAACAGGATATATTCCTTTAAAAATGTTATATAGTGTTTTTTTCTAGTCATTTAAACTGAGGGGTTGAATATAATTTCCATAGTTGTTGTCTTTGAGATCTGTTCCCACTGAATTATCTCACCCTTTGAAAGGCCTTTCTCACTTTCTCTACAACCATTACAAAAAATCTTTCCAGAGAAGCCTATCTCAGCAAGCCAAGTGTTAGAAGTATTATGGAAACAAATGCGATTCTGTGATTATATTTCTCATAAGAAAGCTTTTATGTATAACATTTAGTCATAGGTTGATCTTGCCCAGGGTGTTTTTTTTTTTTTTTGTCTTTTGTCTTTTTTCCGTGTCCGGCAACGGATCGCAACCCTCAGTGTTGCCCCCGCACCGGACCAGGGACCGGCAACGGGACTGCAAACCTCGGCGCTGCTCCCGCGCCTCGCCCAGCCAGTGAGCGGGAACCGGTCTGTACGTGGGATCCGAACCCTCGGGCGGGAGCGCCGCGCGCTTCCCAATAGTGCGCCACCGGGCCGGCCCCTTGCCCAGGGTGTTTTGAGACCCACATCCTTGCATACTTCTCATGATAATAGCAGTAATAGGAGGAAAGTTTGTCTTCGCAGCTCCTATGGACTAGGAAAGGCAGTGTAGAGTTAGGGCTCAGTTTTATTCAGCTAAGACAGCAAGGACAGGGCTTGGGGTCCCGGAGACATGGAGAGCATCTATGGGGATTTGGTACCCAGAGAACCACTTGGAACAATGTGGATAATTAATCTCATATGACTACAGCAGCAAGGCTGTCTTTTAAATATTTTGTATTTTTTATAAAGTATTTCTCAGGATGCCATTGTCTCATACGGTAAACTGGGCTTTCAAAACCCCAAATGATAGAATAAATAGGAATGTAGATCAATAAGGTTTTGGAACATGGATTTGAAAAAATTTTAAAGTAGAATATTTTAAAATTCCCAATCCATTTGATGGAAATTATAAATAGAAATTTTTGAATACATATTTACTGATATGCTAGGATATATGATATTGTCTAGATTCTGATAAACTTGAGGTCTCTTCTGATCTCTTTCAGATACTACAACATTAGAAATAAGACTAAGAACTGTTGGATGAGGCCGTTTAGAGTTGTGAGAACAATTTTTGGCACTGGTAAAAAGCTTTGAAGCACAAGATGGAACTCAAGCGTAGGGTAATGTAAGGAGACTGCTAGCCTGCTCAGGTGGAGACCGAGACAGCTGGTTTTGGCAGAATTGAAGAGGACAGAAGCAGTCCAGGCCCAAATGAGATCTTAAACTGGAGCTATGAGCATGTGAAGAGCAGACGTGACTGCAGCTGCTTGACCGTGCTTGGTAAAGGGTTTGACAAATTTGTTAGCAGGGCCTTTGAGCAGATGATGAAACCCTTGGGACTTGTTCTCTCCATGGGAAAACCAACCTGTTTCTGTTCCTCCACATATTAAAAAAAATCATGAATCTAGTCATAATTTCATTGGACATTCTTTACTTTCATCTTATTTAACAGCACCAAAAAAAATCTTGCTTTAAACTACTTGGTTATGCTTGTTGCTGAAAGCAGGTATGTTTGGCGCTCATCTGTTACCACACTAGTTGAGATAGTGGACCACCATCAACCAGAGCCATAAATCAGGCTTCTCAGGTGCCCATATCTGGGAGATGGGAGCAAACCTTGATGGCAGAGCCACCGACTCAGCTGGCAGCTGCCTGAGATGGGAATAGGAGGCATCTTTTCACACCGTCTATTAAAGAAAGCATTTTTACATAAACTGATTTCCACCGGGCACTAAAAAGAGATTCCTCCCAGAACCAAGAGAATACTGATTCCTTCCATATGGCACGAACACTGTTATTCTAAATTATCTCAGTCTGAAAGCCCCAGCAGACATTTTCATTGTAAGTGCAATAAAATGCAGAAATGAGTGTCTTCAGTCAAGTAATGACTTTTATATTATGCCAGAAGTGCAAATGGAGACTGCTTGCTGGATGCATATGAAGAATTTTAAGAGTGGGGCTGAGGGGAGGGAGCAGATGATATCTGGCACTGTGGTACCTTCCTGCTTTTGGTCATCTGCACAATCTTTTGTATAACTGTGTGTCACTTTCGAAATTGGTGCATTTCTTTCAGATAACCAAATTCATTATGTTTTATGAAGTGAATCACTTAATCGCCTATTAGAGTCATGTTGCAAAGTTTGGAATATAACCAGATTTAGGCTTCGGATGTACTGAACATCTTTTGTTAATGTTCACTAGGAAAATGTGGAGAGGGCAATAGTAACCACAATCTATTTTAACTACCACCTTGAATTAAATGTTTATTTTCAGTGATGTATGTGGGCTCTTTATGGCTCCCATTAAAAAACAAGAATTCTAGTGGAACGCTGCCTTCTTTCCATATATATAAATGGCTCTTTGGTATTTTTGTTTTAGAGGCAAAGCCTTGAATTATTCTCCTCATTAATTATGTGAACATTCTGTTCTCCTTTCCTTTTTCCCCCACCAAATTGCCAATAATTCCAAGTTGCATCATGCTGAAAGCTACATTCATGGGTGACCCATACCTAGTATTGGGAGACTTGTTTTGTGCACCATCACAACGATGATTTGTGAGAGCAATTGGGAAAAGGAGAGAAAAAAACTCAGGACCTGAATGGTGTCATTTAAAAGTTGCTGACCTGCAAGAGAAACAAGTGGGAATACTCTGGCATAGGGAATCTACTGATCTCTCTCCAAGGCGCTAATCTTTTGCTATTCATTTGATCTCTACCAGAATTTCTTCACCTAAAATCAGAGTAATGTCGGCTTCCATGGGATTATGTAATATGATGCTTAAGAATTTTATTTTTAAAGTACACCCTTCAGAGTAGACATGGTCACAATAAAAATTTTTTAAAAATTGTGTCCAGTCCATGGAATGTATCCAAGAAAATCTGGTGTTCTTGGTACTTTCTGAAGAACTTTTAAGCTGAGTCTCACAGAAGTCCTCTTTTGGATAATAGCTGCCCCTTTTCAGTATGGTTCAGAACAAGTATCTCAGTCTTCTATTTTTGCTATGGTTCTAGCTGATCAGCCGACTTTATTAGCTGAATGTTGACCTTTTCTCTCTGGCCAGTAGAAATTCATTGTGCTTTAGTCATTGGTCCATCCCCAACAGTCATTTTCGTTTCATTCTCTGGTACAGGGAAGAGCCATTCCTACGATTGTGTTGGCGGTCAGGAGCCTGGGAGAGTTCTTCATTAACTGAAAGGAAAAATATCAGTTAATTCAGAGGCAGCTGAGTGCCTTTGTTCATTTACAGCTTGTAAGTGGTTACTGGCCAGCATTTCTGACCCTGGTGGATTGGTGAGTTACAGAAGTCCAGGTCTTCAGAGCAAGTCCTACTGCAGGATCTCTCCTTACCTGCTCAGCCACTTCCAGTGAAATGTAAATGCTTCTTTCTAAAGAATGACCCTGGTTAGAGTGGACAAATGGCCACTGTGATAAAAAGTCTTACATGCTAAGTATATTTTATATTTGGTAGATTAAGTGTTAAGATCCCCCACATTCAATAAGCATTTATTAAGCAGGTCTACATGTCAGGGGTTGTGGATATGGGAATGAGTAAGACAGGGTTTTGCTCCTGCTCCACCCTCCCAAAAAACGTATTTGCACACTTATGGTCTTTAGACAAGTCAAATTAGTTGTCTGCCTTTTACCTTTTGGCATCTTTTACTGACAACTCTGACCATTACAACTTTCCACAACCTGTACATTCCTTAACTCCTTAAAATACTTCAGTTAAAGCTGCTCTACTAAAATATTAAAACTCAGCAATGACATCCTAATTACTAAATCTAGTGGCATTTTCTAATCCCGTTTCTTTCTACTGTAGCACCTGACACACACCCTCTCTGTCCTCCTCGCCCCCATTACTCTCTTCCATTTGGCTTTTATTATCTACCATCTTTCTGTGTACTCATATCTGCTCCTGTAGCTTCAACTATTATCTCTTTGGTGAGAACCAAATTTGATCTTTACCCCTGATACCTCTCTTGAGATCTTGACATGTATTCCTCAAGATCTTCCTAGTGTATCAAAAGACCCTTCTCTTCCTGTGACCAACACACACAACCGATCCTGCTTTTGCTCTTAAAAGTTTTATTTTCAGAATTATAATTAATCAAGTCAGAAACCAGGGGCTTATAACGTCATGGGAGGTGATAAACACGCTCATAGAATTGAACCTGAAAAATACTCTTTGGCTCCCACATGAAGTTTGTGCAATTTATTCCTTCCCAGGCACTTTGTATGCCATGTACCCCAGGACACATGCACTCTCCCTGACCTGGCTGGGTTCTTTCAGGCCTGTCGTCTTAGGAGAGGGTGCATATGCGTTGCATGGTGATGAGCCCAAGGCTGTGTGAGCCTCAAGACTTAATAGCCAGTATTTGTTGAGCATTTGCTATATTGCCAGACACTGTGTGAAGCCCTTTGCATGCCTTGTTTAATTTTGCAGTGGCATTATGAGCAAGTCACCATTATTATTAATTTACAGATAAACAAATGGAGGTAGAGAGAAATCAATATGAAGCAATTTGCCCAAGATCACAGAAATTGATGGACTCAGGATTGGATCCCAGGCAGTCTCACTCCAGAGTCCACCCTTTCAACTGCTGGGTTACATTGCCTTTCCACATAGATCATTGCCATTTCAAAGATATTCTTTTATGGCTTATGATGAACTCATTGAAATATGAGTAATTGCTTCCCTTCTACTTTCAGTTAGCAGAGGCTAACTGCACAACAGGTGCTTTGAACAGGGATGAGAATACAAATTGTAGACTGAAAATGGGTGACCTAAACAATGAGATTAAAATAAGCGAGCTGTAAGGGTAGAGAACTAGAAAAGAGAGACCAAAAGGAAGCTCATCAGTCTACAGTGAATCATCTATTTAGTGAATAAAATGTCTGTGTTAGGCACCATGTGGAGAGTAAGAGAAATGAAATAATTTACCCTGAAAGCTTGCAATTTGTCCATTTCAGTGGGTCTGTTTAGGAGGGTGTGCAGAGAGATTAGACAGGCAGGTGGCCTTGCATACACCTGAATTGGTTATTGTGACAAATTCTGCAAACAATGAAGTTTTCCCTTTTGAGGGATGGGTAAAGAAATGTAATTTCTGACTCAGGCGTAGATCTTTTTGGGGAGGAATCACCATCATTAATAATTACTCCTGTTATACGAGGGTACTTCAAAAAGTTTTTGGAAAGATTTGTATTATCTTTTAATTCTATTTTTCTGTGAACTTCTTGAAGTACCATCATGTAAAGAGGTTAATCAAATCCTTCAAAGCTTTTATAAAATTCTCTCCTTTAAAAATTTCCTACAGTTGCCTTTCAAGTTGGTGGTAAGTTTATTTGGGCCAAAAGAATTCATCTATTCAACAGATATATCACCTATATCACCAGTGGTGGTATGTTGGCTAAGAGGGCTAGCTCTGGAGCCAGACAACCAGGGTTCAAATCCTGTCTCTACTACTATCCAGGTGGGTGACCTTGGACAATTGACTTAATTATTCCAAGACCAAGTTAGTAACAGCCACTATTATTATGACACAGATGCTGCCTTCTTGAAATTTATAAGCCAGCAGGGGTAATAATGACTAACAATTGTTCAGAACAGGCACTGCTAAGAACCTTATCTATATCACCTCACTTAATCCCCACACCAGCTATGTCCTGCTGTTTCACACATGAGGAAATTGAAGCTTCAGAAGGTTAAGTAGTGACCATTGTTACAGAGCTGGAATTCAAACCCCATTTGGTTTGGCTCATACCCTGAGCTCTTAACAATTTTACTCTGCTAACCCTTAGGTTATTCTGCTTTTTTCAAACAATTATTTTTTTCCTTTTTGATTGCTCACCAGTTAAATGTATATTTTTGATTGCTTACCACTTAAATGTATATATGAAGTTCAGTGAAAGATGCCTAGCCACCCGTATATTTTCAATACTTTAGTTGTCTGTTTTAGAATGTTAGTTGCTGCAGGCCAGAACCTGATCAATTACTTGACCTTATTTTGGATCTAATTCCATGCAGAAACTTTTACACATTTGTGGCATAATCCTGCTGACTATGCCAATTTGTCTGGCTAGGCTAAGGCCTGGAATCCTCACAGCACCAATTGAAAAGCTGGGTGAACATGCCAGTTGTCAGGCTCTTTTACCTGCTGGTAATCCTGCACTGACTGGGCCGATTGTTGAGCTAGGGCTGGGTCTGGTGCTCCCAGACCCCTCAAGCCCATTAACAGACTGGGTCACAAACCCTTCACGTGCCAGGCTGGGTCACCAGACCCTTTCGCGCAGGTCTATGAGCTAGATAACTGGCCAAAAGGTCCTTGGAGCCGTAGGTTGGAAAGCATGGCTGTGCTGGGTGGACACTCGAGGCAGACGCCCGCCTGTCTGCTTCACTAAAACAACTCTTTCTCCAAAGAACACAAGAATAGCAACAAAACTAAAAAGATACATTGGGATGCATGCGCACTAACTCCACACACACACACACACACACACACACACACACACACACAATTTGCTTACAAAGAATGCTGAACCACACACCCAACTGGGCCCGAGGCAAGGGCCCTGGCCAAGCTATTCTATTTTTCCAACAACATTGAATAAATAAGATTTTAAAAATATAATGACTATTTTTGGTAATGTTATTTTAGAGAGTAATTTGTTCTTGATCAGGATGACTCATCAGGTTTTTTGGGGTGGGGGTTGGCACTGGAAGTAGAGGTTTGGGAATCTGAGGACTTGGGTAGATAAGATAATCAAAACTTCCACCCTAGGAGATGCAAAATGCCCATGTAAGTGGTTGGTGAAGGGTTTGGCTGTGGAAAGTTTAAGGCTCAGAACTTGATCCCGAGGGCTACTTGTCAAGGCAATTGACACAGATTGAAGAGTGCAGGATATTAGAGATTTTTCTTTCTTTGTGAGAAAATTGATGTTCTCCAAATACTAATTAAATTTACATGCACCATTACCTCCTAAGGCTTGAAGTGTAGTGAGTAATACTGAACGATTACGATACCCCTACATGCTTTCCATCACATCTTAAAAGGGCTCGCCTGTCCAAGTGACTAGGATGTATGAGACAGCGAGCTTGTTTTCTGTTTTAGAATGCAGGACTCTGGGGTTCTGTGAACACACCATTTAATCTGTCAATGTCCTCTTTACACGAACAAAATAGGAATGATTACATTTGCCATAACCCTGGTTGGAAGATTAATGACATGACATTTGCCATCTGTTTACAGTTTTAAAGTGGATGCTGCTAAATGAAGATACAAACTGGTGATATTTTATTTTGGACAAAGTGATCTCATTGCCTTCAAACTGGAGGAAGGATATTACTACTTACCCTTAGGAAAATGGCTTCAGAAAGAACTATAATTTTTTAATAGCTACATGTTCTTAGAGGGCTTCCCCCTGCCCCCAAGAAGCAAGAATCTGGAATTAAAGGGACCAAAATGAAAGTGTTCACAGTCTAAGGTTGTCTGCTAACACTGGAAAATGAATTAAGAATTACTCCAGAAAGATGCACAGATTCCATTTGGGAGAGGAAGGAAATGTAAGGGGTGGTTTGAATATAAAGTTTTTGAGAGAATGATGTGAGTATAGCACAAGCTGCCCATCAGCTGCCACCCTGACCAGGAACCTGTAAGGGACAATACCCAAGGCCCTGACTTCTCTCACCCCAGCACGGTGGGGCCAGTGTCAACAGAATGAAAACTGGCAACAGGGGAGGACCATTGTGGTCCAAGAATGAAAACTGACAACAGGGAGGACCATTGTGGTCCAGTCAGCTGTACGTTCCTCTCTTGGCATCCTTCAGATGGTTCACTGGCAGCCACTAGTAACGTAGAGCTCCTAGTCATTAGCATTCCTTCCAATAATAATTTCCGCAATAAATTTCCAATAATAATTAGGTCCTTCCACCTCCTCCCTCACTCTGTACTCCTTACGTGTAGCCTGGAAGCTCCAAGCACACTTCAGTGAGAGCCAGCCAAACTGGGAGACAATGGAGAAGGTGGCTCGTTGCAGTGCTGGGGGTACCCTGTAGCTGTTTAGAGGATCTGCCTCTGGTGAAAGTGCTCAGCTCTGACATTCAGGAAAAGACTTAAGGAGAAAGGGCAGGTCATTCGTACAGCCCTTTGACCAGGTAGCTAATGAGGCCAGGGTCAAAAACATTCAGATTTGCACCATCTGCTCTAACTTATGATTTTTCCAGATGCCTTTTGTGGTTTTCTAGAAGTGAGATTGTTTCTTCTCAATCCTAAAAACCCATGGTAAAAGTCTGTTCCACTATCTAGGAGAATCCCTGGCGTATGGTAGATTCACAAACACTTGTTAAATTAGTGAATGAGGACTATCGCTATCCAGGAGTATGGTGCAAGTTTGGAGCAAGCTTAACGTTGGTGAAGGGACTCTACCTGGAGATCATGAGCCTTTGTGTGAAGCTGACCTTCTCATTACCCTTGGGTTAGATCCGATGCTGCAAAGAGGGGAGGCTTTGAGAGGGAAGGGACAGACTCATAGTTGTGGAATATCTCAGTAGCATATCAGAATTTGGAACAAAGGTGGAAGGAAGTGTGAAGAGAAAGTAGGTCTTTGGGGCCCTCTGCTCCCCTCACTCAAATCCTTCAGAAGCAGTTCCAGTTTTGTTGAGCTATAAACTTAAGGTAACCATTTCTGTCTGCGACTTGACCTCTGGGCAACTCACAGGGGCAGGGATGTGCTGTAGACAAAGGGGCCCGCTGTGCAGTGGGTGTAGTGACTCGCACACACTGAGCGCTTCCTCTGGGCCCTGCGCTGTCTCAACTTTTCCCTCGCACCAGCCCCTGTGGTGCCCAGACACACTCGCAATGTGAGTTGGATTCTCCAGGCTATTCTGAAGGAATGTGATAAGTTTTTACCTCAGGATGATCTAAATATCTAAAATACTGTAAATCCATTTGATTCGTACATAATTATAGGTGTTTTCCTAGGGATTAGTACAGCTATAAAACCAAGATTTGACCTCTTTGCAGAGTCTGTCCCACATCCCAAGATGTCCCACTGAATAATCTGACCTGTAATAACTGGTAAGTAGAGGCCAGTAAGAGACTTTAAACCATGTGGCTATCTTAGCCTGTTGTTTGCCTTATTTTATGCTTGATACATATTTTGAGACACTGAAATTTTTACCTAGCTAAAGAAGCAGCCAGAGATGAAACTTGGAAACCACATGAATTACTCAAGTCCTTGGCTATCACATCACATCCTTTTACTGTCCCCTGGGTGCTCAGTGTCTGTAAGGGCCTGGAAAGCATGTGACTGACAGTGGCCATTGCAACAACTTCAAAAGTCTTTCAAAATGGAAGTCTTAGCAGTGGCTGGGCCTTAGTCCAATTTGGAAGACTCTGAAGGGAAGCCCTGGTTAGGATCTGGGAGATTTCTAATTTTCTCTTTTTGGAGGCTCTTTCTAGGGTTAAGTAGTAATGAATATCTAGGAGGCAGAACATTCAGACTGGTCTTGGGCCAGTGAAGAATGAACTGACTTAATAAAGAAAGGGGTTTATCACATGAATTCTGTAGAGTGAGAGAATATGGGTCGATCACTCAACAAGAGAGCTGTTCATAAAAATGAGACACAAAAACAAAAAGCTAGGGGCATATTTGAGCAGGTTACTATGGAAAACTTGGGATTCTACAATATATGCTATGTCCTCTAGGATTTCTTTATGTTCTAAATTTTGTCTTAAAAACAAATATCCCTAATTATTACTTCTGTTGGAGTTTAGGTTATATGTTATGGTATTAGTCATTTTAGATTCTGAACGTCTGTTTATATAATAACATACACGAAGGCATTGCTTGGCCTTGGCAAGTTTTTGTGGAAGAGGAAGGGTTTTCAAATTTGTTTTTTTAGTAGTTTAACACAACACCCTCCAAATTAAGAAATATGACTGTTTTTTCGGTATTGCTAAAATGGTTATTAACTTCTATGATATTAATGTTTACTGGATATAGTATTAAAATGTAGTCTATCAAATCGCAGACAAGTTTCATTAATTTTAATTATAGCAGAATAAATAGTCTCAATCCAGGATCCAAATACCCGTTCTGAGTCACAGTAACCTTCCTGATTTTTCTCTTTTTTGTACCTAACACTAGATTCTCATGGAAAGTTTACACATATGTCAAATATCTATGAGGGCTTTACATTTGCCAGACACTGAGATAGCACAGTGTTAGAAACATTTCAGTAGCTGAGAAAGAAGTGTGTGCACACATTAGGGGCACACACACACAGGCACATGCACACATGCATCTGTCTTGTAGAGAAGGCAGACCATGAACAGTGTTTTAATGTTGGTGAATCTGCTGCCTTGAGAGACAGAGAAAAGCAACCACATGTGAAAATGCTGATTCACAGTTTGTGAGGATCTACATACAGCAAAGCAGTCTCTACTGCAGGCTGTCGCATCCTAGCACACGAGCCACTGCTAAAAGCATCAAACTTTGCCAAATTCACTAAGGATCTTGAGAGAGGACCTATTGAGAAGCACCTACAAATCAAAAAGATGTGTTTCTCTAGGCCTCCCAGAAACACTGTGCATTGGCGTGTTCCAAAGGAGTGCTGTGGCAAAGGACGTCCAGCCCCTTGTGTGGCTTCACACTTACCCTCAATCAGTTTGATCCTGAAGTAGGCGATGAGGAGAAGCAGCAGCAACGTCACGGGCAGGAAGATCCCAGAGAACAGGAGCCAGCCGGGGAGCTCGCTCATGAAAGCTGACAGCACGGGGCTCATTGACAACCGCATAGACCCTGCTGGGACCGTGGGATTCACACTTGGGACCAGGGCAGCTTTGCTCCGAGTTGATTCTGCTCTTACTGTCCTCTGGGACTCTGGCCTTTGCTCAGCATATCTCGGTGGAACTTTTGGTGGACTTTGCTCTATTTCAATAGCCCCATGAATTCTGAGAGGATTGCTGGCAGGTTACTCTGTAACTCAGCTACAGAGGGCAGAGGGATTGCAAAGTGGATCTCCCAACCTCTTCCAGAGATGACTATTTACCTGGCAGGGGTGGAGATGACCCCAGGAGGCTGAGATTTCTTTGTATTCAGTTTATCTGCAAGGAAAAGCACCTGACTTCAAGCAAACCTCACTGTTAATGTATATTCTTCCTATATATTCCCAGTCAGAATTTTTCCTACATTTCCTAAATTTCAGAGTTGAAAATTACTTAATAATTATGCTAATGTACCGATATACCTGTGTCTAGAAAAAAGTGAATTTTTCTTCCTACATAATTGATACAACTAATACTGTCAAAGGAAAAACAAGATTCTTTCTATATGTAGAAACTCTTTCTGGTATTTCCTCCTCCAAATACTTCTCTGAGAGATGCATTGGTTTACTCATTTGTTCAACAAACATGTAATTCTACTAGAACCCAACTTCTGGACTACATTCTGGGTATACAAAAGAGAGTGAGTCGTGCCCCCTGCCCTCTAAGAGTGGAGATGGACATAAACATTGTGGCCCTGAGTGGCACTGGTGGAGTGGCTGGTGATACGGCTTCTTGACCTGCTCCCTTCGACACGTGTCTTTGCTTGCTGCCTTAGCTCGGGCTCTCAGCTCTGCTCTGCTCACACTTCCCTGTAGCCCACTGGTAGCAGGGGGAGGTGGCCCTGAGTGATGGGGGTGTGGGTTGTGAGTTAAGTCCGGAGTTGCTGGGAAGACAAAGGGCAATAAACTATGTTGATGTTGACTTGTTGACTATGTTGAGTTGCCACTGACCGCTTTAATGAAAAATTCCCAAGGATACTGGTTGACTAACAAAAACCAACTTAAAAAAAAATGATTTTTATGTTAAAAAAAATCCCCTGGAGAATTTGGAAAATTTGGGGGAGGAATTCACAGCTGCTTCTTGGCTTCATTCCTCTTCTCATGTTCTCACCCTGTCTCCAGCCCCACCTGGCACCTGTCTGTCCTGGTGAAGAGCTGGCAGAGTCTATCAAGGACAAGCTGCTGTCAGTGTCTCCCAAATTCTTCCTCTAGGGACTTTGCATGGCCATGCAAAGTCTCAGTGCCAGCTATAAAGTCTGCACCCTTATTTACAAAATAATAAGACTGGAGAGGATCTCTGGGATGCTTGGCCAGCATTCCTGAGCAGCGAACAGTAAACAGCTTCCCTCTCAGAAAAGTGACATCTAATTTCAGAAGGAATTGTTTAGAATCCCCTAGAATCAGTCAGTGTTCACTGCACCATATTTGCTTCTCTTCTCCCACTCCACGAGTGCATGAGTGGTGTTGCTGCTATTCTTGTGTGCCTTCCATGGAGATGGCTCTCTGGTGCTCTTTCAGCTTGAACAGGATGCTAATTTGTAAAGTGTCAATCTTCAAAGAACCTCCATGAGCAGGTGGCATTACCAGGGAGATGTTAAGCAGCTGTTAGGCAGACTGTCATGTTCTTTTTTCTCACGTCACTCCATTCAGCAAGCCTTCACTGAATGCCTGGACAAAGGTAAGTAAGGGGAACAGGCAAATATATAAATGACAATAATGTTAGCGCCCAGATTGACATATGAACAATGTGCAGAGGAAGCAGTGAGGAGAGACTGATAATCCAGCCAGGGATTGGGCCGAGTTCATGAAAAAAATTGCGTTTGAGCTGAGCGTGGGGGGTGGGTAGGTGAGGAACAGTCTCCTCAAACACAGGACAGTAGCGCAGGGCAGGGTTTATGGAGGACAGGGAGGAACCGAGAGGATCTGAATGTAATGGAATTCAGGCCAGAGAGTGTCTTAAGAGTTGAAGCAGGAAAAGTGGGGTGGTGTCAAAGCTTATGGACTCTTGAATGCCCTGCTGAGGACTATGCAGTTTGGACAGGGGGAACTAGTCAAAGGTCTCTGGTTATGGTAGTGCCTGATCTGAGCTGGGTTCAGGAAGCACTTAGGCAGCACTTGAAAGAATAAAGAGAAGAGATCAGAGTTGCTGTCTCATGGTATCAGGATGTGGTGAGGCTGAGACAGGAGATGGCAGAGAGGGAAAAAAGGAGACAGGGAGGCTGCAGAGATGAAATGAACAGCCCTTGTTGATAACTGAACGGAGAGGGGTAGATGTCACCACTGATACTAATTAGTAATCATTGAGCACTTGCTTATGTCAGACACTGTATAAACAATGTTTATCATATTTAATCCTCACGGTAACCTTATATGGAAGAGACTCATTATACAGATGAAGAAACAAGGCACAGAGAGGGTAAATAACTTGCCCAAGACACGTATCTAATAAGTGGCAAAACTGGGATTCAAATCCAGAGCCCATGCTCTCATCTACTATGCCACGTCGGGCACGGGTGGCTGGAAACAGTGGTTGCTACAAACAGACCTAACCATAGACTGGGCAGTGAGTTTGTAGGGGAAGATACGTATGTTGCAGTCATTACATTGGAAGTGCTGTGGAGATGTTCAGTGGGAACTGGTGGAAATATGGAGTTCAGGAGGGAGGACGTCCTGCACTGTGTATTTGGGCTTTATTTGTATATAGATGGTGGCAGGTGTCAAGAGTGTGGGAGATTTCTCAGGAAGGAGCGTATGTGAGAATAAAAAAGAGACCATCTGTAGACCCTAAAGGATACTCTCAAATAAGACATGGGAGGAAGGATAAAAACCAAAGAAGAAAACAGAGAAGGGAGGCTCTGAGCGGTGGGAGAGGAACCCAGAGGAAATAATGTTAGGGAAATGGTGGCAAAAAGTAGTTTCAAGAAGAAGAGATAAGTGGTATCATTTACTGGATCTGAGGTAATTCTGATCCACATCAGAAGTTTGAGGAGCATAATTGTTGAGGTAGACTTACAGGTTTTCCTTTTTTTCTTTTAAGTAGCTCCTTTGGGGTCTAATTGATATACAGTAAACTGTGCATACTAAAAGTATACAATCTGATAAGTTTTGATGTATGTACATGTGAAATCATCACCACAATCTAATGATGAACATATGCATCAACCCCAAAGTTTTCTTGTGTCCCTTTTCTATCCCTGTCTTCCACCCCTCACCAATCCTCAGACAACCACTGATCTATACATTAGTTTGCATTTTCTAGAATTTTATATTAGTGAAATTCTATGGTATGTCTCTTTTTTTACCTAGCACCATAATTACTTGAAATTCACTCATATTGTTGTGTATTGTTGCAATCGATATTTCATATCTTTGTATTGCTGAATAGCATTTCATTGTGTGGATATTGATTTTTTTTTTCATTTGCCTATTGATGGACGGTTTGGTTGTATCCCATATTAGTGTGCTACAAATAAGGCTGCTATGAACATTTCTATGCAAGTCTTTACATGGACATGTGCTTTCATTTCTCCTGTGTAAATGGTAGAATGGCTAGAAAATATGGTAGATGTATGTTGGCTTTTTGAGAAATTGCCAGACTGTTTTCCAAAGTGGTTATAATATTTTTTATCCCCAGAAGCAGTGTATGAGAATTCCAGTTCCTTCACATGCTCAGCAACACTTGAGAGTGTTTGTTTTTTCAATTTTAGCCATTCCAGTGGAATAAGGAGTATCTCATTGTGGTTTTAATATTTCTATAATGATGTTGAGCATTTTTTCTTGTGCTTTTTGATATTTGTGTATCTTATTTGGTGAATGCCTATTCACTCTTTTGTCCATTTTAAAAAATTTGTGTTATTTGTCTTATTGAGTTTTAAGAGTTCTTTATATATTCTGGATACAAGACAATTTCCAGGTATATGATTTGCAAAGACTTTTCTCCCAGTCTATGTCTTGACTTTTTATTTACTTAACAATGTCTTTAAAAGCACATACATTTTTAATTTTGAAGTCCAACTTGTCAGTTTATTATTTTTTAAATTGTGCTTTTCATGTCTAAGAAATCTAGGAAATCTTTGCTCAACCCAAGGTCACAAAGATCTTCTATGTTTTCTTCCAGAAGTTTTGCAGTTTTAGGTTTTATATTTAGGTCTATGATCTATTGCAAATTAATTTTTGTGTATGGTGAGAGGTATGGGTTAGAGTTCTTTTCTTTTTGCAAACAGCTACTAAATTGTTTCAGCACTATTTGATGAAAAGACTACTCCTGGTCCACAGAATTGCCTTTGCACATTCATCAAAAATCAGAAGTCAATTATGTGTGGGTCTATTTCTGCACTCCCTTTTCTGCTCCGCTGATGTAGTCGTTAATATTTGTGTCAATCCCACTCTGTCTTGATTATTGCAGCTTTAAATTAAGTTATATAATCAGGCACTGTTAGTCTTCCAAATTTGTTCTTTTTCAAAGTTTTAGCTAGTGTTGGTCATTTTCATTTCCATGTGAGTTTTAGAATCAGCTTATCAATTTCTGTAAAAATGTCTGCTGGGATTTTTTTTATTGGGATTGTGTCGAGCCTATAGATTAATATGGGGAGAGAAACAGTATTTTAACAATACCAAGTCTCTGACCTGTGAGCATGACACATCTTTCCATTTACTTGGGTCTTCTTTAACTTCTTTGGATGATGTTATATAGTTTTCAGTACACCAGATTTGACCATCTTTTGCCGGATTTATCACTTAGTGTTTCATATTTTTTATGCTATTGTAAAGGGTATTGCTTTACAAATTTCAGTTTCTGATTGTTCATTGCTGGTATAAAAAGTTTTCTTAGTTTACAAAAAATACCTCACCTCTGAAAAATTCTAGATTAAATATTAGAATTTATTAAAACATTCTTCAGAGCTTGAGAACTTTTTTCTACAAAGGCTCTTATCTCAATTTAAACTGGTTGTCTGGAGTTACACTTAAGAGGCACAGGAGCTACAGAGAGATGGAGATTTTTGAAACACTGGTAATATATTTGATTTACCAAAATTTGGGATGGGGTTCCATAAAGAATGTGCTATTTGCTACG